ACACTACCAGCCTCTTAATCAGACAGGGAACAGAGCCTAAATACACACACTCAAATCAGCACAACAAGACACAGGTGAGGGGGGAGGAGACAACACAGGACACCAGGTGCACACAATCATCAGCCACAGACCTCAACTGTACTGTGCAATCACGCTAATAAGGTGCCATATACCCGGCCTGAAGCCGTCAGTCCATAGTGACGCCAAACCTTCGTCACATTTCCTTCCCCCTCTCCCCAGGAAGCACAGTGTCCCCACAGTCTCGGCTTCGGGACAACCAGTCAGCCACCCGGTCTCAACGCCGCCTCCTCCGCCACCTCCAGCGGGGCCAGCGAAGCCGCTGTCAACCATGTCGTGACGCCACCCATCCGGAAGCTGTCCTGTCCTGTTGCAATGCGTTGGTCTGCCTCCAGCACGACCCAGGCTCTGTCGACTCCTCGTGGGTCCGGGTCCGCCTCCTCCTGCTTGTCTCTCGTCTCCTGCTGCTTGTCTCTCGTCTCCTGCTGCCTCAACAGCCGTGGCCCCCTGGTCCGTTCCAGGCATAGCCACCCCCAGCCGCGGTTCCTCTCTTTGGTCCCTCTTCTTTCCTCTCGTAATTTTCACCTCCTTACTTGGTCAAATCCCACTTCTGACACCAATTGTGAAGCTGACCGTTGAGCGGCCCAGACCAAGCAAGGAGGCAGAGGCAGAACGTCAAAAATATAACCCGACGTGGGCATTTATTAAAATAATGTGCACAAAGTTCACAGCCTCAATCCTGCTGTTCTCCTTGCACACATCCTGCTGCCACCAGGATCTCACACACACTACCAGCCTCTCAATCAGACAGGGAACAGAGCCTAAATACACACACTCAAATCAGCACAACAAGACACAGGTGAGGGGGGAGGAGACAACACAGGACACCAGGTGCACACAATCATCAGCCACAGACCTCAACTGTACTGTGCAATCACGCTAATAAAGTGCCATATTACCCGGCCTGAAGCCGTCAGTCCATAGTGACGCAAACCTTTGTCACAGTGCTCTCATACTTGTTTGATTCTGAAATTGTATATATTTATATAAATATTTGAATGTGTCCGCATCTGTAGCCTGTTATTGTCTCATTATACCGCACTGTGAATGAATCAAAGTAAATATATAAGTCGTCATGAACACATCTGTCCATCAGACAGAGGGCTGCTGTCCCTCCTGTCATCATTAATGGACGTCTCTTTAAAATGACCGCTCAGAGGAGAGGAGTTCTCATTTCTCTAACCGCCTGCTGCTTCCCCTCCTCTCTCCTCGGTTCCCCTCCTCAGTCCTCCGCTCGCATCTCCTGTGGGCGGCACCAAGTCTCGAGGATAGGAGTCGAGGAGGGGACATTTAAGAATTGAGAAGCCTCTATGGTGAAGATGACCTGGTGAAGTTCAAACAGAGCATCAGAACGGGGAAGAAAGGTGATTCAAGTTACTTTGAACTTGTATTATGATGGCCTGGGAGCACACAGCTCAATTGCACATTTGAGCCACAGTTTATAGCACTTAAGTCCAAATATTTATATATTATAACATAAGTCATTTTTTTTTTACATTCAGTTTGACCTTTTTCTATTTTTTACATGTACATTGTTTATTTATTCCTATATTTTTATTGCATTTTTGTGTCGATTGCACTTTTTTTATGATTGGATGTCTTTTTTTTCATTAAGTATATTGCAAGTTGCATTGTTGGAGGAGCATCTATTATCTATTGTGCATGTCATGTTACAATCAGGATTACAACATCAGGAAAAAAGGTAACTAATTCCCTACAGTTACATAAAAAAATAGGTAATCAGATTACTGTTACATTTGTAAAAATGGCAGATATCGTGTTAAAAAAAGAGCATATAGTGTTTGTTGTAAAGTATCAGATGTTCTCTCTTCTCTGTGAGCTGTTCTGTAGGATAATACTTTAAGTGTGAATCTATACGCCTACTGCCTGAATCTGCTTTATGATTTTCACTTCCTTTGCTTCATTTGATATTGAGGAAATCAAAAAGTATCAGAAAGTAATCAGGTTACATAACTTTATTACAGGAAGCTAGTAATTGTAACGGAATACATGTAAAATGTAAAGTAACCCTCCCCACCCAGGTGCCTTTGGATTCTGAATCTTTTGCACACTAATAAAGGCTGTTTGAAGCACTTAGGTTGCCATGGTGCTCTGTCTATAATTAACCCATCACACATTATGCAACAAAGTGCCTTGTTATATAACGGAAATATATTTATAGACTTTTATGTCATATAATAATTCTGTAATGAATTTTGGAAAATGATTCTGTCAGATTATTTGTGAATAATAAATGTTTGTGAGTTGTATAGCTATAGTTACGTAAAGAGGTGGCCTAGATTTTTCACGGCTACTTTCTAATGTTTGGCACACTTACACATACAGACATTGGGGGGGAAAATAAAAACAAATTAAAGGAACACAATGAAGAAATCATGTGATGTACTATCCATATAATATTGAGGGGAGTCAACAATATTTATTGCATGTGTGTCAGTAAAAAAGTCACGTCTACATCCTTGCTTTTACTCCAGTTGTAGCTTCACATGTAGTGCAGCAGGGGGCAGCAGAGCTTTAAGAGCTGCAGACAGAGGTGCGCTGACACATTTTAAATGCAACAAATCCCCAAAAGCTAATAGCATTTGCAAAGTCTGTTTTGTTTTAAAGCATTAAGCGTGACGAGTGAAAGATGTTGCATCCTTCAAAAATAAAAAACAAATGATTGCACTGAAAGGACAGACGGATATATTACTTCACTAAAAACAGGATAACATAATAACCATAATTATACAATACTGTGAACAGATCGATTCTGCCATTTCTGCATAACCAATCATTTCCCTTTTGATACTTTAGGTACATTTCTCAGATTATACTTCAGTACTATATATTGTTCTGAAATGGTGGATTGTGCAGAATGAGTACTTTTACTTTACGTTTTGAGGTACATTCTGATGCTAATCCTTTTGTACAATTCTGAACTCAGGACTTTTGCTGTAGTGGAGTACTTTAAGACCATAGTATTTGTACTTTAACTTAAGTAAGGGATCTGAGTACTTTGTTCAACACTGGCTAATTGTCCTATGTTTCCATTCAAGTTTCCACTTCAGACTGCCTGAACCTGCCTTTGTTTCCCACTGAATGTTTACCAGAGGGCTCCGCAGGACAGAGCCAGCTCCCTGGGGGGCTCCCTGTTTTAAACATCTGAGGCCCTGCGGACAGATGACAGGAAAACAGGCTTACATCTGTCAATCTGTCAGAAAGAGTAATCTGATCGTGGCTTGAGAAAGGCCAGCGGAAAATGTCCCCATGTAGAGGTCAGGCCTCATGGCGCGGTCAGTGGCATGGCATGGGTCCATCGCTTATTGACAACACTAAGGACTTAAGCCTAGTTTTTTAGGGGGCATAGATTGAGCCTAGGGTTGGAAATCTGAAGATCAGGGGAGGATTGTGTGGTTCTCCCTAAAGAGGGCCATGTCATAGTTATTAATCTAGGCAACGTACAACATATTTGCTAATTTATCATTATGAATTCAATATAATTGCACAAAATAATGGCTGTAAAATAATGACCCCATCAGAGTTTAGAGTGCTGCGGTAAAGACATCTTTTTGTAGGCCGACCCAGAAGTTAACCTTGCACGGACCCCATCTACATAAATCAGACCTTCGGCAAACAAACAGTAATGATGCTTACACGTAAGCTAATGTTAGGCTAGTAAGGAACTACATGACAGTCGCATGGTTGCACATCAACACCGCAAAGCTAAAGGGGGCTAATCTTGGGCATGATGATGTTTAGTAGTCTCATTTAGCCACTTGTTAGCAACCTGCTTTTTTAAGACATACAAGCTTCAGACATTCACCAGTGAGGCATTCACTGACGTATTTGATGTCTTAGAACAAAACGTGAAAATCTTGCTTGTGTTAACCACAGACCTATTTCGTGCATCATGCCAAAAACCTAATGATATGAGACGAGGTCCCCCGGAAGTGCTCAAATGCTAACTTATTTAGGACTGATCCTGCACCACTCTATAAGCATGCTTTTATTATGCAATTGTGTCTGCCCGGGTCGAGATCGGTCTATCACAGTAAAAGCCCCGGACACATCCACAGCATCATCGCCTCCCACAGAGCACTTTGTTTAAAAAGACAACACTTAGGCGTTTTCCCCAGGTAGAGGAACTACTGGGGAAAGCGTTTACTTTGAAAACTATAACCAGTAGAAGAATAATGCACATGGTGTCAAATAAATCAAAAAGGTAGAGTGATAAATAAACATTATTTCAGTCGTATCATCAAAATTGCTGAAGTTATCATTACTGCTAAGTAAGCTGTTTTACTCTGCAGTTATAACGCTGGGATTGGGTTTCTTAGCCTTTTTTGTTTTGGACAGTAACATTAGCCATGCTGCTAAGGGGCTATGTTGCTAATGATATTTGCAGGTAGATTGATCTTTTTGCACGTATGCAAACCAACAGAGAGAAAAATAAGGAAAGAACTTCTTTTTGTGTGTTGTGTCGCTCTAAGGAACACAGACAGAAAACACCAAATGGAAACGCTGAAGGGAAGTAAATTAATTAACGGAAGTTTTAAATGTATTAAGTATATTATACAACAAAAATGACATTCTGTATTTAAATGCATCTACTACATGAACTGGTTCATTGATATAAGATATCATCTCAAAATGTTGTCTGTCCAAGGAATCTGGCTTTTAACTAACTGAAACTCACCCAAAACTGTTTTAGCGGTTTATATTCCAAAGCAATTTACATGCACACATAGAGTTCCGTGGCACTGGTTTAAACCAGTCCAAACTTCACTACAAGAATAAACATTTCATGTACCGGGAGCATCAGAAGCCCCATTCAAAACATCCAAGATTTATGTGACATGGAGGAATAAATAATGTGAAATGTTCTCTGAGACCTTGAGGATATGGAAATGCGGGCTCACCTTGCGGCTCGCTTTTCTTCCTGAAGTCATCAAGGCACTGAAGGCTCCCTGGGCTGTCTAGTGCCAACTTGTTGTTGAGGTACCAGAACAGAAAGGTCATGAGGATGATGAAGAGACCGATGGCTGTCAGAAACCCCAGCACCTCTGGAGAGACTGAGACACAGAAGCTCCAGTTAGACATACTGCTTTAAAACATCAGCACACCACTGACAAAGAATGCTGGCATCATTTAGGTAAACACATTAGACCATGGTAAAGTATTTTCCCCCCAAAAAAAATCACTTTTCTCTTAATTTGTAAAAGGAAAAGTAAGCAAATATAGAAACCATAAAAATAACAGTTGGCAGAAACAATACTGATGCTGAAAATGCATTGAAATAACTTCACATTAGTGTTAGAATTCATGAATGAATGACAACAGCCTACTCAATAACCCCCATAACCACTTATTTGTTGTGCAAATCAGCCAAGTAGTTGTTTAAATGTCATCCATATATGTGATCATGCTAACTAATGCTAATGAAAGCAACTTGTGCTAAATATGCCAATTGCCCAACATATGTACGTTAGCATTCCACAGTTTTTAAATGCTGGGAAAGCATACAATACATTTAAAAGTGTTAAATATAAAATCACTGATACGGTTTGTTAACAATTGTTTTCAGTTTGAATTTACAGCAACAATACACCCATTCACTATTTAAGAAGGCAACAGGGACATAAGACAATAATATAAGATCTCTTTTAACACAATCTCTAAATAAATGCAAACACTATTGTTTTTTCAACATTTGAGATTACAGTTGAGGTTACACTTGAGGTTACACTTGAGGTTACACTTGAGGTTACACTTGAGATTACACTTGAGATTACAGTTGAGGATACACTTGAGGTTACTAGTATTAGACAAATATTTGTAGCAATAAAGCAAACATGACCCTGTCTGCACGGCAGGAAATAGAGCACCAAGGCCCGTAAAACCAGCCTGCTTATTCATGTGAATGACTGTTCATTATAAAAGTTAAATAAATATGGTTGGTTCCTTTTGAAAGACAGCATAATACAGGTTTACAGTATTTTTGAATGGTTTTAATCTTAATCAATTACACCTTGAAAAACGTAACTTTCTACAAATATAAGTAAGATGGATAAGACTACTACTTGTACAATGCATGGGCAATACTGTATGTCATTATGGTAATGCTAATAAAGCTATTTGAATTTGACAGCAACAGAGAGAGTGTCACTGAAGTAGAGGCACAACCGGTTTGTTGCCATAGCAACAGGTGCAGGTGCAGCGTGACTCCAGACTCTAGACACAGGCTGCTCAGAGCTCATTAAGGAAAACAGCCACTGCCACACATGAGTAGAGATGCTTTGGTTCGGTAACACATGATCAGATGAGCAGACAGACCCTGGCACTGAACACAATCTGAAGGAGTTTATTTGTTACATTTGACCTTCCAACATCGTCATTGAAGTGCTACATTATGCCAACATCAGGTTGAGGAGACTTCCTGTATTATCAGAAAGTGATGTTGGCCTAGATCAGGGGTAGCCAACGCGAGTCGCCCGCGGGGCATGTTCTAGAAGAAAGAATGCTAACTAGGTAACATAAGATAAGAATAAACAAGTTGAAATGATTTGTTATTGGTTGTGATCATATTCTAAAGATGTTTGGATTATTGAAAAGTATACAGCTCTCTTTCATCTGAGTGTTGAGAGCTGTATCCATGCATTCATTCTGTGCTCAAAGTGCACCAGATTGAGGCATTTAACTTACATTTTAAAACAAATCTTCCCGGGGGAGCATGCCCCCGGACCCCCCTAGAGGAGGTGAGGTCCACCCCCAAATAAATAATAAAATGTAATGTATAAAATAATTAAATTGCATACATGTTCTTTTAGTAAACACTGAGAACGGGTCCCACAGACCCAAACAGCACACAAAGGTTAAAGGTAAGCATATAATAATGTTAAAATGTTCTAAATATATACACTGCAAAAAACAAAAGAGGATTAAAAGTAGCTCACGACTTGTTTTATTTTTTGAAAGTAGCTCTCATCCTAAAAAAGCAGCCTGCCGGGTGTTCTTTTCCCCATAATGCACATTATCCCTTACGTATCCCCTTCTCTCTGCAGATGGACCCTTCTGACATCAAGGCCGTCTAAAGAGGTAAACACCTTTGTTGTAAAACATTGATATATTTTTTATGTTATACTTTAAAACAATTCTAAACCACAGAAGTATATTTTCAAAATGTAAATACTGAACCACAATAATTAAGTAGATTTTCGCTCTACACACAAGTGCAGCATTAATCAACCTTCAATTCCAGACAATAAATGTCAACTCCTGCAGGGAGCTCTGGAAATTAATTTGACATTTTATACTGGCACAATGTCGTGTTACAATCAGGGAGAGTTGGAGGAGAAGTGGGTTCACAAGCTGTCACACAGAGAAAGAGCTCCATGACACAAAAATGTCACTTCGGGGAAATTCCTACAACATCCAAGTATAATGAGATTTGGCTGAGGCAAATAAGGTAAACATTGAGAATAGACGTTAGAGAGTGTTACAAAATGAAGTGTATCTGTTTGTATAGCATCGTAGCAGCAATGCTAACAGCTGTCATGTAAGAGTTTACACAGACTGGAAGATGATAATTTATTATTCAACAATTAGGGACCTTAACGCATCATTTCTATACCTTAATAAAGCAGAACATGTCTATAATGAAGGGAGGGAAGTGACCTCATAAGACATCACTTAAGACTATAATGCAATAATCATTCTGTGCAGTGGCTTATCAGACCCCTAAAGAGTGGTTCAGGAATGAGTCCTAAAACCCGGAAAAGGGTTAGCATTTTTCCCCTTCTGGTTCCCTTGCCTCAAGTCAATCTTTTTGGGCAACCAGTGCCTTCATATAATAATAATAATAATAATAATATATTTAAATTGTTAGCGCTTTTACAGGTGCTCAAAGACGCTTTACAGATATAGTGAAGGGAAAAGAAAAGGAAGGAACAACAAATAAATATATAGTTAAAGTTAAAGTCAAATAATACAAAAACAATCACACATTAAAAGCCAGATTGAAGAGGTGAGTTTTTGTGAGTTTTTTGAAGGTGGTGAGGTCAGTGCAGTCTCTGATGGGTTGGGGGAGTGAGTTCCAGAGGGAGGGGGCAGCGACGGAGAAGGCTCTGTCCCCCCAGGTCTGGTGATTGATGCGGGTGGGGATGGATAGGAGGTTGGCTTCTGATGAGTGGAGGCAGCGGGAAGGGTGGTGCAGCAGGTCTGTGAGGTAGGGGGGGGGGGGGGGGGGGGCCTGATTGTTGAGGGCTTTTTGAGTAATCAGGAGGACTTTGATGTTGATTATTTAACGGACGGGGAGCCAGTGGAGGTTCTGGAGGACGGGAGTGATGTGGTCTTGGGAGCGGGTGTGGGTGAGGAGGCGGGCAGCAGAGTTCTGGATATGTTGGAGTTTATTGAGGATATGTACAGTAGAGACAGATTGGAACCCAGGGCTTTACCAGTTGAGCTGTACGGAGGGCCAAACTCAACGGTTTCTTAAACTTCATTTTGGTTTTATGCCTGAAATAAGTTCTGTGATTAACATAAGTCTAAGAGATTTTCACGTTTTGTTCTAGGACATAACATACGTCAGTAAATACCCCACTGGTGAATGTCTGAAGCTTCTATGTGTCATAAAACCGGAGGTTGAATACAAGTGGTTAAATGACATTGCTGAACTTAAACACACCATACATTAGCTGCCAAATGCAGCTCCGTTTTGCTTTTTGTTGAGGGAGCCCTTGGGATGCTAATTTACGGATCGGTCTACAAAATGTCGTTATCACTGCACCACTCTATGAAGCCATTTCTGTTGGTAGAGGTTGAGTGTGTCTTTGCAAAAGAAAAACACATTATGTTGACTTATTGGGGTCGGACAGAGGCAAGTGCAATGTGTGGTGCATTATGGGATAAAACAGCGCATCCATAGATTCTCTGCAGAAGAGGTCTGTATTCACAGTGTAGCAAGCAGGCAGCACCAATGCTTTTATTTATGAACACTGCATACTATCAAACACTGCATATCAACTTGTGTGCACTCCTCTGTATTCTCTCCATAAGATGGTGGGAGGAATTTGGATTCTTTGGTGCAGTGAAAAGGAAAGGGATGTACAGTAAAACTCTACTTCTGCCGTCTCAACTGCAAGCCCTTGCGAATAACAAAACTTAGAATAAATATTTTAGAATGAACATAGTACTTGTTCAACAACTTAGAATTTATTTCGTTAAAAGGGGAACTCTTGTGCAATTTGAAAATGCCACTTCCATAACTGTCCAAAAATCTAAGAAACAAAGGCGACGGGGGATATGGGGATTTAGTAAGAGATTTATAAGTGTCATCCCTGTGCGATCAAAACTCACTGTTCTTGTATGATAAATAAAAGAACATTATACCTTGAAAATCAATAGCGGGTACATTTGACCCGTTGGCGGTTTTAGGTATACAACAACCTCTGGCAGCTCTAGTGTTAAGGTTAATGCTACATAACCTGCTGTGCTCTTTTTTCCAGGCCATTGGTCAACTTTTATGTGTTTATGTAATTACATGGTCTGTTAAAGATGCCTGGTCTTTAATGAGTGTGGAATATTGTAAGTATCCCATAATATTTGGTCACATGGTGAGGTGGGAGCAGGAGGCGTTATCCCAGAGGAAATCCAGTCTGCTCACACGGTACCAGCTTCTCACTGTTGACTGAATTATTAACAGCACAGATGAAGCAGGATCCTGCTCTGGTTCCCTAACTGGCTACAACAGGGAGAGGAATATTCAATCACAGAGATCTACACACAGTGTGTCTCTTTACTTTCAGTTTTCTGATTTAGGATTACAATATTTCCTATTTTTTACTCAATAAACAATCTGTATCAGGCTTCTTTCCTCACTTTTACTCCCTTCATCTACCACATGTAACAATATGCCAACACTGTATTTAAAATGCGTTATTCCTCCTTTTCCTTTTCATGAAACAAAAACTCTGTTGCTACCCTTGCCCTCTTTAGGCATTGACAATCCAGGGCACCAGCCAAAGCAGTGATATGACATTACATTATTATAACAAATTATATTTAGAATAATGTT